CGTTCTTACCCGCATCGCTGGACTTGGTACAGTGATACGGGTAGGGTGGCCAAGGAGATCGACCACATCCTCGTTAGCACTCGGTGGAGGATCCTCCAGAACTGCAGGGTGTATCGGAGCGCCGAGTTCTGTGGAACTGATCATAAATTAGTTGTGGCTACTCTCCGGGTCCACTTTAGAACCCCCCGTCGACCAAATGAGCACCCCAGGGTGTTTCATCTGGACAGGACTGAGGGAGGATGAGTGTGCCCGGGGGTTTGCTGAGGCTATCTCTGGTCGGTTCACAGCACTCGAGGGCCTGACAGACCCTGTTGTTATGTGGGATTCCTTCAAGCGTGAAACGCTTGATGCAGCTCAGGAATCCATTGGTGTACGCCCAAGAGCAAGACAGAATTCCATCTCACAGGAGACATTGGAAGCCACAGAAGCTTGTCGTGCGGCTCGATTGTCAGGGGATCGCAATTTGCACTGTTCTCTGGCGCGCAGGACTAGGTCACTGCTGAGAAGGGATAAGGAACAGTTAATCAGTAATCTTGCAGAGGAGGTTGAAAGCCATTTCTTAGTAAATGACCTTCGTCCTGCCTACCAAGCTCTGAGAAAGCTGAACTCCAAGCCCTCCTCACAGACGACAGCAGTCCGCTCAGCAAGTGGCCAGGTAATCTCAGATCCTGATGGGGTGCGTGTGCGTTGGGCTGAGTATTTTGAGCAGTTGTATCAGGTTAACTTGGATGCTGGTAATGTTGAGACTCCTCTGCCAGACCCACCCATCAGCAAGGATCCACCCACCCTGACTGAAGTCAAGGGGGCGATCTCCAAGCTGAAGAGTGGTAAAGCAGCAGGTGTCTGTCGCATCCCAGCTGAATTGTTAAAGGCTGGTGGAGAACCTATGGCAAGGGGCTTGCATGCAGTCCTGTCTGCCATCTGGCAGACCGGTACCATTCCCCCCAACCTGCTGAGGGGTGTGGTCATCCCTCTCTGGAAGGGGAAAGGGGATCGGTGGGACTGCAGCAATCACTGAGGCATTACACTGCTCAGTGTACCAGGCAAGATACTCACCCACATCTTACTGAGACGTATCAGAGACCACCTCCTGAGGCACCAAAGACCGGAGCAATCTGGGTTCACTCCTGGTAAGTCCACAATAGACCGTATCCTGGCGCTTCGAGTCATTATAGAGCGCCGTCGTGAGTTCGGACGTGGGCTGCTCGCAGCCTACATCGACCTCAAGAAGGCGTTTGATACGGTGCATCGCGAATCACTCTGGGAGATCCTGAGACTGAGAGGAATTCCAACAAGGATTGTTGGGCTA